CACACACACAAGAACAGCAGCCACCTGCTGTATTGATGCACACTGCAGAAGGGCTCCAGTTGCCACTGCAACAGCATCGCAGAACAGCACTGTCACCATGCAGGAGTGGTATGGAAGGAGGCTCTGGGGCAGCCTGGACTGTCAGAAAGCCACAAAATGCAAACAAAAAGCCCCAAACTGTGCAAGATCAAACAGGGTCAATATCTGTCCTTTCAAAGGCTTCCAGTCAGAAAAGATCACTATAAGCAATGGTTGTTTTAGGAACATTAAATATGATACTAAAAGCATCTTCTGTGTGAAAACAACATGCATATGAGTTTGTTTATGTCATAACTTTAATCTCTTCCTATAACATGTCTTTAAAGCTTATTTCAGGCTGGAGTAATAATACAGAGTAATGAATCAAGGCCTTAAGAACCTTGATAAGCAGCAGGGAACCATCATGGAGAGCATTCTCCTGATTTAATTAAAGTCTTAAAGAGACTTCCAGAAACAAAAACCCATTCACTCATTAAGGTGATGAGGAGAGAGTGAGGAGGGAGGCTGCACATCAGAAAAGGAAATACAAGGTGAGCACAGACTTAGCCCACCAGAAATATTTACAGGAGCACCAGCATGCTCACATTCAGACTACCTTTTACTTTCAGGTTTCATGTATCACAGTCTACTCCCATGTATCACATATCTACTCCCCAGGAAAGCCTGAAATTAAGCATCCCAGCATTATCTGGAGTAGCACAGGATGATCTGAGGAATAAGCTCTCCTTGCTGGGAGCAGCCCTTGAGTTTCTCTCTTGCAGAGGAGCGCTGTGACCCCTGGGGAACCCGCTGCAAGGCCTCAGGGACAGGAGCTCCATTTCCTCATTAAATAGTTCTGACTCATGAGCACATCAGAAAACTTGCATTGTGGCCTTTGACAGTTTACCTCCATTATGGCAAAGTTTGTCGAAGAAATCATTTTCTGCAAATCATTCAGGCAGCATTAGTCATGGCTGTCCCTTCCACCAAGCTTTGCAGAGACAGCTCCAATAATTTTTATTATTTTTCATCACCTTCTCTTGCACCCTTATCTATCTCGACCAAGCAAACCTGCAACTTTATCTCATCTTCTACAAGACAGAGCAGCTCATCCTGACCAAGAGGAATGGTTTCAGATATTATTTTCACCTCTTTTCTTTGTGGAAAACCTAAATGCCACTTCTAGCAAAGCCTGGGTCTGGCCAACATGGAATAACGGGCACATGGGGCTGGAAGGTCAAACCTTACTGATTATATTTAAATCCATTGCTTTTATTCATGTATCTACAGTCAGCCTCTTTCCTTCGGCTGTGCTCCAACCAGCCAAACTGCCTATGGGCATCTCCTGCCTACGCACTTCTTCCAGCCATGTGGAAAGCAGAGCATTAAGAAAAGGTGCATATCACAGAACGGCACAGAATAGACTTCAAAGATCATTGCGTTCCAAACTCCTGCTGTGAGTAGGGTTGGCAACCACTAGATCAAGAAGCAGGGCTGCATCCAGCCTAGATTTGAATGCTTCCGGGGATGGACTATAAGGGTAAAGATGATATGATAAAGACGCTCCTAAAATAACCTTAGGGACACTCTCCTCTGCACATTTCTGGGCCCATGAGCACAGCCTTTCTTGGGTTACATATCAGGACAGAAAGCAGTTTTAAGGAACTTCTCTAGGCAAGAGAGGGCCATCCTTGACATCTGGTTTTTATTTAATTTTTTTTTCCAAAACTCAGCACAATTTTAGAAGCTCTGCACATTTGTATCCGGCTGGAAAACTGTTTCTGAGCCATCTCCACTGCATATTTTCTTCTGACATAAACATGAATTAAGGTTACGGTCAAGTGTGATCTTCCTAGCAAAAAGCGTAGGTTCCATCAATGCGACCCATTAAAGCAATCTAAAATACCTGCTGATAGTTCGTTATTGCAAGTTACTTTCCTTCCTGATGGAGAAATTATTCAATATATTGGAGGTGAAAAAAAAGGTCTCCAGGAAGGCAGCGCCTGTGCATCACATCAGTAAGACGGGACAATGCAAGGGACAGGCTGGACAGGTTGCCAGAGGAGTGTCCATTTACTCAAGCCTGCTGGATGAATTAAAATACCTTTCCTGAAGGGCATGTCAGCTGAAGGGAAAACCTTAATTAGCAGAAGTCGGAAGGAGCAAGGGCATCCTTATCCCATGCAGCAGCAGATCAAGCTGTGTGAAATATGAGAGCATACAGATTAAATATTACATCTGCCTGAGAATGCTCAGGAGCCCAAGAAAGGCAAGGGCTCACAGCTGCAGTGCTTCCCCCATCTCCTCTTGGGTGTCCACGCTGCAGCCTTCATTGCACTTTATCCGGGAGCTTATGGGATCGCCCACAGCAGTTTTATGGAATGAGGCAAGTTTTTCATCTCATACCTATATGATCCAATTAAAAAAAAAAAAAAGAAAAGCTTTCTGGAGCAAGATAAGTTTGTACTATGAGAAGAAAAGCTGATTAAATACCGTAATGATGGAAAAGAGCATGTACACAAACCAGCTATATTCCCTGCACACAGTACCATGCTGAAGATACATCCAAGAGGCAAAAGGAGGCAGCTGGGCCTGAGCCCCACTGGTTAACGTGCTGCACACAGTCCCAAAAGCTGATTCAGAGCTGCAGAACAGAGTAGGGTCCTATAACAGCTCCTGAGGGTACCTCTGTTGCCTAGTATATTAGAGCCTCAAGGAATCGCACCATGGTCACTGAGAGTTGGCTGGTCATCTTGTGCTGCAAGGTGAGCCGGTGCACGCCTTCCATCCTGGAAACACACCACATTGACAAAGCATGAAATATTGGAAGGCAAGGGAAGCAGTATTCCCTTTGATTTGCAAAGGCTGGGAGAGGGTCATTGACCACGTGGACGAGGTCAGGCAGAGCCTGCAACATCAGATGGATGGATTTGTGTCAGAGCCCCATGAGGTCCTGCTTGCAGGGCTCTGCATGGCACCCATTTCAAGCCTGTGCAATGGAAGGGCCCTTGGGATGTGACAGTGATGCTCCCCTTGCATAGGGCCTACAGTGAGCCCAAGGCAGGCTCAGGCTCCGGGGCACAGCACTGGGAGGCAGCCCTGCACATCACACTCCCGCTCCCATCCATCACCCACAAGGCAATGGGAAAGCCCACTTTTTTCCCCACCTAAAGCTTTCATTCGAGTCAGCTTCTTTATAACTTCCCTCCAATTTTGCACATTCTTCGTGTATCTCATTAATTAATGATTCAGATAGTTAACAATTTTGGAGCAGATATTTTCTTCCCATCTATAAAGAGGCTGTGCCAATTTTTAGCCCGAATTTTAAACAACACATATATTTAAGCTTTCTGCCCAGAAAACAGCTTGGAGACCAAAGATTGCACTGTCTCTTCACAAGGCAATTATTCAGAGTGCTATCAGCAAATCTGAACGCACCTTCATCTGCGAGAAGGCTTTCTCCCTGCCTTGCCACACAGTCCACCCACCTAGAGATGCAGCAGGACTACAATCGATACATGTTAATTAAGCCATAGCCCACTCCAATTAAAATTATAGGATCTGAAGGACAGACATTTATTTTTGTCAGTAAATTAATTTAAGCGTCCATTAATTTTAAGTTTAAATTCCTAAATTATATATCACTTTAATGATAAATAATTTGTCTCATTACGGAGCAAACATATGGAACAGAAAGATAAAATGGAAGACAGTTGGGTGCAGTCAGTGTTCTCCAGCACTTCCTTCTTCCCTCGACCCTTCTCTGTCAGTAAAATGGGCTCTTCAGAAAATTTGGTTGGTGAGCATGGCGTTGAAATAAAAAAAAAGGGATTCTTTGAGCATCTCACCTCCTTCTCTGCTGGGAACAGGAAAGCTTAGCTGCGAAATCTCAGCTTTTTAGAATAGCTGGAACTTTGTGCACACTACCAAAATAAACACTTTTTCTGCAGAAATAAAAATATTACCATGTTAACAGTTTTTTGTTTTTGTTTTTGTTTTTTTTTCCTTTGTTGTTATTATTATTCATACAAAGTGAGGCAGGTGGTTTGGCACCTTCATTGTTTCTGTGCACATCCCAGGCACTGAGCACTGTGTTTGGAAAGCAAGGGTTGCATGGTGCCCTGTGGTAAGCACGGCAGTTGGTTAAATGCAGAGCAAAACACTGTTGGAACCTTCTTCTCCAAAAAGATAACCCAAGTTGGCACAAGCATAGGTTTTTGCCCTTAGCAACTACATAGAATCGCTGAGGTTGGAAAGACCACTAAGATCATCTAGACTAACCATCAACCCATCCCCATCAAGGGCAGTCCATTGGGACACTGACCCATCAGCACCCCTCCACAGGCCTGCAGAACCAAGCAAGCGCTTCATGCCTGAGTGCCATCCTAAAGTCCTCTCCTCCTGCACGAGGCAGAACACTGTGTCTGGCACCCTAAGACATCTGCCCCTGGGGAGCTCAAGGCCTGCAGTGCAATCAGAGCACTGCATGGTTAGGGCATCAAACCAGCTACAAACTTCTGGGAAACAAGGAGCGCCACCCTCCTGCAACACCAAAATCAATCACGTCACCCTCTGAGGATCCACACCCTTCCCACCCTCTGCTGGAGCGGAAGGGGCTCCCTGTGACAGCAGCAGCTCAGCATTTGGTGCTCCTAGGGCTGGGTGCAAAAGCCAGCAGGAGGCAACACAGTGGTCTGAGCAGGTAGAGAGGCAAAGCAGCAGCTTGCAACACTTCTTCCAAAGGAACGTGCAGCGCCTACATAACAAGGCTCAGTCCAAAAGGGGATGGGGTAGCACAAGGAAACTATGCAAAGCAGGACCAGCAATCTTCTGTTTCCTTAACTACTGCAGACGTCTGAGCATTTACAAAAAGCCTTTCCCCCAAATATCCATCAGTTCATCTATCCAGCGGTGCAGCTGAGCTCCCATATTTATGGCATCGGTGCATGTTGCTATAGAGATAATTAATTAACACAACATAATAAATTCAGCAATTTTATTACTTTGCAGGTTAGCATAGAATTGGAAGTAGATTGGGGCAGGTAAAAAAAAAACTGGCTTATAAAAAGTAATGTCTTTAATGATCCTCAAGCATTGAGTAAGGCAGTTGGGCCTGGAAATCATTCCTACAGTACACGAAATGCTCTGCATTTGGTATAATCACAGCCATTAGGAGCCCGGAGGAAAATCAGAAAAATAGCAATAAAGATGAACTGAGTCTCAGCCAAACAACTGGAGGTGAGGGGGCTGAGGGGGAAGTTTCCTGAGCAAGGCATGAAGTCAGACCACAAACCTTCATCTTTCACATACAGATGCCAGCATAACACCCACAGCTGGAAGGACAGCAGCAGAAAAATGACTCCCAATGATGGACACAGTTCCAGCCAGGAACTGGGCGAAACAAGAACTAGAAGAATGCTGTTGAGCACGCAAATAGTGCCACACTTGCAGTTTGATCTCACTCCCCTCTTTCTGTTAATTGAGAAAATTGAAATCAATCTCTTTTCCAACGGGGGCCCTTGTTTTATTACTCGTCCTGTGCTAATTAGAATCTTTTTATATTCTTTTTGGTTCAGGGTCTGTGCCTTCTGAGGTTAGAAAAGAGAGCGGCACAGCTGAAACTGGGTCGCTTACCCCTCAGGATGCGACCATTTGTTGCTCTGCATGCAGTGAAGCAAAGGGGAAAATGCTCCAAGAGAGAGCCACATGCAGAACAGATGAGCAAAAGACTGTTTGGGGACAAAGGTGACACTGTGCAGTGCTGCTTGCCTTACATAACCGTGACAGCTTTGTCACGTTGTCAGGTACCGATGACATCTGCACTTCTCAGAGCAGTGCCCAGTGAAAAGCAGCTCAACTATACAAAACCAGGGACGTTGCATAGAAAAATCAAAGAGCCAGAATGCTGCCACCCAATTCCTAAGCTGTCCCTGCAATGCGTTATTGCTATAAAAGCACAACAAAGCGAGCAGCTTTTATCCTGCATTCATGTAAACACACATGAGGAAGACTAGAACAAAAAACACCCAAGTCTCAAATGCCTTAAGATATGTTTGGAGACTTCAGCATCAGCTCCAAATTCTATAGAGGCTCAGCTACTTTCAATAGGGTAAATTGCGTGGTGTCATTAGCATCGCGAGCTCATTGCACACCATCTGCAGGCAAAGAGAGTTTTGCTATTCCCCAGTCAGAGCTGCTTGCTGGCAGGCTGCTGCTGCAACCTGTTGCTGCACTTCTCCATGTCTGTCTGCAGCATACTCCCTGAGGAGATTGGTCTGTTTTTAGGGTCAGTTTAGCTGCAGAAAGAGAGGGGCTATTTGACAATCTGACCAGAAACACCCAGGTCACCCAAAGATTTGCTTGATCCACACACACATGCCAAAAAAGAAAAAACACCAAAACACCCTAAAACTACTATCAACCAGATGCTGCTGCATGGATTTGTAACAGTGATAAAGAGAGAAGACGTCTTCCCCAAACCCAGACAACCCAACCCAGATTGCAGAGACAAGAAATCATCTACAGTGAGAGCAACAATGGGCAATTTAGCTTGATTATATCCTTGCAGATCTTCCTATTTATAACGGTTTTCGTTATTTTGAATGCAAACTGTGGTGTTGGTTTTATTTTTCATGTGCATCCACTCTGACAACCAAAAGTTGTCATTAGCTCCTGATTAAAAGAGGCTTTAAATAAAGAGAGGAAAGAAGTCCAAACAAAGAGTGCGGCTGCATCCCTGTCCTGCTGCATCAGCCTGCCTGCTGCAAATGTCAGCTTTATTTACTGTTTGGAGTCCACTAAGCTCTTCTCTTGTAGAAGAGGTGAAAGTGGGAATATTGGGCCAGATGGGAGAAAAGAAAAACAGAAAAGAAAAGAGGAGGTAAACAAAAAAGCAGCCGTTGGCCTGCATCGATGCTGGTCCTGGTCCTTCACACCAACATGCATGCAAGTTTGCACATAGATGTGGCAAGCAAATTAAGTAAGCTTCACTAGTGAGAGTCTGACCTTTTCCATCTTCCCCCCCAGCAGAAAGCAAGCTCCGGAGGAGACTAAAAAAAGGGTTGGAAATAGCAAAGATAATAAAGTCAGTCATCGGAAGCACAGAAGACAGAAGGAAAAAGACAGGCAGGCGAAAGGAGGACTTCAGGAAAACCTGAAATATTGCAAGTCATCCTCTATTTTCTGGAGGCACAACCCATCCCAGTGAAATACAGGCACCAGGATGCACGCAGGTGAGGCCAGGAGCCCTGTTTTGATGCTGAGAGAAGGAGTCTGCTCTGTTTTCTCCATCAATCTGCTCCTTTTGGCACATGTCTGCTGCGTGCTTTTTAGCAGAACAGAACTCCCCTCTAGCAAGGTACAGCCAGACACCAAATACGATTACTGGGAATTTTCCTCCCTCAGTATCACCCATCCCCATCACTCCACGCCGCAGGATCCTCACCACTGCGATGCTGAGCCACGGTCTTCAGGGTACGCTAGTGAAGCCAAGCTGGACAACCACGAGCACAGCACATTTGGCCCTTGCTTCATCAACCATAATGAGCACCTTCAGAATTGATAGAATATGAGGATGGGACTCAACACTTCTGCATCCTCCATGAGCAGCAAAGGTGCTGCTCAGAGGAACTCACCAAACCCAGCCACTGTGCCACCCTGCACCACCCTCGGAGGTTTTTCCATCCCAAACATCTTTCCTGCAGCCTGGAAGCTCAGGGATAGGAAGGGCAGCCAAAGGCAGCCCCGCTTTTGCCTGCTCCTCCCACATTCAGCTCCTTATGGCACAGCAGGGAGCTGAAAAAGTTAACTCCAATAACTGCAAAGTGCTGCCATTCAATTCCACCTTTTAAATGTGACAATTAACTCTACCACGGTTTCCTCTGCTATAACCGCTTATGTTTCCATGCCACCGAGGCCAAGAACCACGCATCCTTGGCTTCCCCTCCTGTGCATCCTCTGGCTGGCATCACATTAGCAGAGCAGAAAGAGCTTTTCCTGAAGAAACCTGCTACCACACGGATGTTTTTTATGGCTCTGGCTGCCCCTTGTTCAATCTGTGCCCCCGCATTCTGGTGCTCAAGTAGAAGAGAGGAATCTAAGCTGTTTCCCTTGTCACATCCTACACTTAGATTCAGTAATGATAAACTATAAAACCAGAGAAACAATGTAAAGCAAAGCAAAGGGGGTGGGGTACAACCAGAACCAGATGTTCGCAGGCAGCTGGCAACCCTGCTTCTCCCAAGATGCTGATGAGCACAAACTGCTGCTTGACAGACAGACCCTCATTGGCCGCCCTTTTCCTGCTAGCAAAATTCAGCTTGGCTCTGCTGGATTTAATCATTTTCTCCCTTTAAATAACAAAAAGTAGAGAGAGGAGAGGAAACGGATTTATTCATGTCACTAACTGTCAGAAAAAAAATGTTTACTGCATTAAAATAACCTGAGCTCCTGAATAGTGGGGAGAAAAAAAAGAAGAAAAAAAAAAAAAAGAGGGAACACGCAGGGGAGAGGGAGCTGGGAGAGCATCTGTTCTGCACACACAAGGGATGGACCCGCCCAGGTAGACATCAGGATGGGACACATGTGAGTCTCCCAGCAGATATCCAGGAGAAAGTGGAGCGAAAACAACGCAGCAGGGAAGGATTGGCGTGGTTGTTTGAGCTGTGCTGTTTTTGGGCACAGCTGAGAACATACTTTTGTCAAGCAGAGCCTTGTGGGATCCATGCCAAGCCCCAGCACTAGCTCAACAGTTTGCACAGCAGGTCCTTGGTGGCTGCCTGCAGAGGTGCTGCTCCTGCAGAGAGGTCGGGGATGTGGGAGGCCTTAGAAGCAACCACAAAAATGTAATGCATCAGGAAAAACAGAGACTCCAGAGCATTGCTGAAATACATCTCCAGCTTCGTCACTCCTCACAACGGGGCATCCAAAGGGCCCGCAGTACAAATATTTAAGCAAATTGGCAGAAGTCCATCAAGGGCTATTAAACAAGAAGTTACAGATTAACTTTCAGCTCAGGAAGCCCTGAAGCTGCAAAATGTCCCAGTCTGGAAAGGAGTGAGAGAGTGGCACCTCTTATGCTGGTGCCTCCACAACTGGAATCTTGTACAGACATACTTTGTCAGTGTTTTGAGCACATCCCCAACCCTGTGCAATACCCCTCCCTTTCTCTCTTCCCCTCCCCTCCCACCCCTCTCTCCCCATGCTTAGCTGCTATTTTTCAGACTGGGAGACACTCTGCTGGTGGGATCTAACAGCACAGCCAAGGCACAGCAGGAGCCAAAACAGCAGCTAGCATCTTGTTTGAGGTTTGGAGGCAATAGCCACCTGTAGACAGCAGCCAGCAGGAAAAGGAGTCACCAGGAGAGCCACCAGACTTGATTTCTTGGCTGTCCTTGTGTACGCCTGGGCTGCCCAGCACCTGGGAAAGCCAGGAAGCCCAGATAAATCACTACAAAGCCATAGTGAGGACAATTATCATGGATAACATTGATACAGCTGAATCCAGTCACAGTTTTCCTGCTATAAGCTGCACCTCCCATTGCGATCCTTAGGGGACGAGGCACGGAACAAGATTATCCCCTGACAGAATTAAACCAGTACACCTTATACTAAATAATTAATAATAACAACTTGATTGCAGCATGCTATCCTTTGATATTCCAGTTTTGTGATCCAGATGTGGTTGAAGCACCACAGCTTAGCAAGAGCTGAAGGGTAGGCTGGCTGCAAGGACACTGGGCATTCAGGATGCTCTGCCCCAGCTGCTGCAGGCACAGAGAGCAACAGGAACCACAGGGAAGCAATTACTCTGCATCAAGCAACGTCTTCTATCTTACTGCAGCAGCAGGACGTCATTCCAGCTCCACCTGCAGGAATTTCTGCCGGAGAGAAAGCCTTGAAGGTTGGAAGGGAAAGGGGCTGCTCCAGGGAGGTGAGGGAAGTGAACAGGATGAAATCGGTGAGGAGAAAAGCAATGAAAGAGGAGAGCCTTATAAAAATGCCATCAACTAGCTTGAAGAGGCAAACGCCTTGGACTCCTACACACAGTCTCACAGGCAAGCAGTGCATGCAGCATCCCAAGAGTGCCTTCTAGCAAGCTGCATGAATTCTCTGCTCCAGCTTCTCCGCACGGTTCAGTAGGTGATGCTTCTAGAAGGAACGTTTGCTGAAGCTGAATTTTGCAGGAACATTAGGGAACGTTTGCAAAATGAAATCTGAATTGACAGGTGGGGACACTCATGACTCAAATTCCTCCTCTAAATCAGGGACCAGGCAATCAGTAAGGTCTTGCAACATTAAGCACCACCTCACAGGTTTGAATGTGAGATACTTAAGAGCATTTTGCAAACTACAGATGAAAAGCACTGTCCAGCAAATAATTGAACAGGAAAAAAACAGGTCATCTCTGAAAAATTTCACTTGGAGTGGGAAAATATATCACAAATTGAGAGTTGGTCTACGCTCACACCAGCAGTGGTCTGGAAGAACAAACTCCCCGCAGAAGGGGCTCACCTGGCTCTCCCAACCCACCTGCAGCCACCTGCCCTTACTTCCCAAAGGAGGATAAAGCAGACTGGAGTTCATCGCAGCTCCTGTAGGCAGTGCAGAATGCAGAGCAGCACATTTCCATGGCATAATTGCACCTCCAGAGCTCCTCAGAGGCACTAGGTAAGCATTTGGCTTTAACCTGGAGACAAAAGCCAAAGCATGCAGCCCATGGTGAGGGCAGGGTGAGGGAAGTAGTCCTCAAGCAATCTGGCTCCATCTAGGCATCAACCTCAGGCTAAATGAAGTAGCAACCCACCAAGGGTCAAAAATAACCCATCATTTTAAATGAGGCACACTTAAGGTGCATGAAGGAAAAAAATAAATTAAAAGATCCTCAGTGCTTTCCACCAAGAGTAGAAATTCTCAAAGGAAAAAAAAAAAACACCACCACCTTCCAGTCTGCACAATCACAAAATGTAGATTTAAATGCTATTCACAAAGAAATCATGTCAGCTTGCAGGAGAAATCCCCATGGATAAAAGACAGCAGAACGTGACCTGGGAAGGATGGCAGCTGGGAGTGTGTGGCATGGAGTGAGGCAGCAAGCAAGCTGCAAACCAGGAACGAGGACAGCAGCGACCTTCAGCTGAGAATGCAATTGTAATAGATCTATAAAAATGCCTATTTCCTGCTTATAAAGGAGATAAGTACCTGTGCAGCTATCCAGGAAGCCACGCATAACAATTCTGCACCAAGCTCCTGAGAAAATTCCGTGCCAGCCACCTCTGCTCCACCCCAGCATCACCGCACTGCAAACCTGCACCAAGCACCTCCATCCCTCCTCCTCGTAGCTAACAGAAGGCCCAAAAGCAGTGTATTTTATGGCAATTATCAGCGTTTGCTGAGAAAGGCTTTCCCTATGCAGACAGCAATTGCAGAAAAAAGAAAGAAAAATCCCACATGGCTTATTCACAGGCTGGAAACATCTCCCGGCCTTGGTTGTTACTGAGCTATTTGCTTGTATCTCTCTTCAAACAGAGAGGCAGCACGGGAAGAACTAGAGATCTAACGTGGCAGACAAGCTGACCAAGAGAAACATGTGTTGGAAAAGCAAAAAAAGGTCAGGGTAGTGATGCTGAGCAAACCTATGGCAGGGCTCTCAGAGAGGAACCAGCATCCTCATCACAAGGGTCGAAGGAAGAGAGTCCCACATGCCACCACCATGAGAGCATAAGCAATCCGTTTACCACTGCCTCCAACTATAACTTTAACAAGGCACAAGTTTTACAGCCAACGTTTCAGAGCAGTGCAATGCTTTTTTATGGTGCACCGAGAATTTGCAGGAGAATGAGTCTCACCTAAGTTTACTTCTTCCATCAGGAGCCTAAATAGGTTTTTCACATAAAATTACCTTTTTTGTCTATAAAAAGGTGCAGCTGTAAATGTACCAGTCTCAACCCCACAGCTGAAAGTTAGGAGCAAAAAATTCCTGCAGCAAAGTGCCAAACTGCAATGAATTTTATACTCATCCCAAAGCTCTCCCTTCACTGCATGTGCTCCAGCCAAACACCAGGCCAGGGCTGTGCTACCAGGGCAGGGTGGTTACCTAGCACATAAACTCATTTTTTTCTCACCTTTCTCTTTTCTGTATTCAAAGAGGAATTAAAGATTGCACTTCAGTCCCCAGGTCACCCCCTGAACTCTTCTGACGCACTGTCTGTCCGCTGCAGAGTGGCTGCTGGTATAAGAAAAACAGAATCGGACTTCTGAAAAGGCTCCCGTTCAGGGAAATCTATTATCATTAATGGCAAACCTCCCAGAATCTGTTCTTCATTTCTTTTTCATTTTAAAATGTCAATGCGTGTTGTCAGAACGCAATTGTTTTCCTTAATCGTCTGCAGCAGCGAAGTAGAAAGCACTTCTCGTCGTGGTGTGGAAAAGTCACTTGCTTTATTTTCATCTCACACTCCGTTTCAAGAGGATGCTTTTGCATTTCAAGGGCTGGCATTGCCCTCAAGAATGGACGCTCCCACACTCGCCTGTCACAGGAGCTCATGAAGTGGTGGAGATTCCCTCACTGGGAAATTCACGTCTCGTAGCCTTTCCTTTGGCGCATCCCCAGCACAAGCGTAAGGACACGTTAGCAGATGTCAGAGAATCTGGAAAAGAAAGCCATCTAGAAAACTGGGTACCCTTTTCTTTCCAGCTCAGAAACTAGAAAAAGGATTTGGGCATTGTTGTCATCTTGATTTTCGTGGAAGCCAGCAAGGCGAACAGCGGAGCGTCTTTCGCTCCATTATCACTCCTTGAGGGCCGCTCCTTGGTGTAACAGCTACATACAATCTTTTCAGTTTGGTAATTGTTGTTTTTTTCTCTCCGCAATCACAAAGAGAAGCTGCTGAAAGGTTTGGGCAATAGGCTTCTTAAAGAGCTGTTGACAACTCTCAGGAAACTTTTACATTTCAAATGCATTCTGCCCACATTTCCTATATTTTCTGTGGTTCTGAAGTTCCTCAATTTAGCACACAAAGCTATTTGCATGAAAATAGCATTTTGAGAGTTTCTCACGGAAGACTCACAATGCCTTTCTTTTAAAAAACACCACATAATTGTAGAATTGTGTGTTGAACATCTCAGGTAGCTGGGGTAAGAGGAGAATGAAGCACAAAACTGATTGCAAACATTTTTCTTTCATTTTAGATCCCATCAAGTTCTCATTCTCTAGCTGCCACTCACAATGGTACTCCTGGATACATTAATCTAGTGTCATTATCATTCTCTGAAGGCAAGGAGAACTTTTATTAAAGCAAAGACAAATGAATTTAATGGTTTGACTGTCTCAGTTTCTAAAAATACTTGTAGACTTCCTCTTGACCTGCAGGTAGAAAACTCTACATTGATATATTCTTGGACTGTATCCAGCCCCAAAGAAAGATAAAGCATCCCATGTGATAAACATCCCTTTTCCAAAGTCCCAGGGAAAGGCCTAGAACTTGCCATGCATCTGACTGAGCAGCAGAGCACTCGCTGAGAGATGAGATGATCTTCCAAAAGAGACAGTCCTGCACAAACTCACCAGACTATGAAGTGTTCCGAAGATGTGATTTGCAGTCAAGAACTGGTATGCAAGCAAGGAGATCATCTTTCGGGCAGCCAGAAAACATATCATTTACAGAACCATAGAATCGTTTGAGTTAGAAGGGACCTTCAAAGGTCATCTCTTGCAATAAATGAGGGCACCCACAGCTCCATCAGGAGCACAGAGCCCTGTTCAGCCTGACCTGGGGTCTGCAGGGATGGGGCACCACCACCTCTCTGGGCAGCCTGTGCCGGTGCCTCACCACCCTTCTTGTAAAACATTTCTTCCTAACATCCCATCTAACTCTGCCCTAGGACTTTGTACAGCATCTCAAATTGCATCTGGCAGCAAACAGGCAACCGTTAGCATTTCAACACGCTCCATACAGGGAAGAAAAAAAAAAAAAAAAAAGGCCAAAATGATGCATTCAGAAAATTGTATCCTTGCTAGCATTTGCTAGTATTATGGAGTGCACTGGAGGTGATGTCTCAAGGAACGGTTTGCTCCTACTGCCAGACACCAGGACAAGCAAGATTCTGGGTGAGCACACAGCAGCTCCTCAGGCATGTCACAGCAG